CCCTATTTACAGCTAAGAAATGAGTTCAATAAGTCTGTATGGTATAAGATCAGTAGACAAGAATCACTAGCAATGAGAAATCTGAATATGAAACAAAACAACCACATTTGGGACAACATCAAAAAGAATAAAATAGGAGTAAGTTTAACAAAATAAGTGCAAGACTTCTTATGCACTGAAAACTACAAAACACTATTGAAAGGAATTAAAGAAGACCTAAATAATGATAAAGATAACCTGGGCCAGGTGCAGTGGCTCACACCAGTAGTCCCAGCACTTTGGGAGGCCAAGGCAGGCAGACCACAAAGTCAGGAGATTGAGACCATCTTGGCTAACATGGTGAAGCCCCATCTCTACTAAAAATACAAAAAATTACCCAGGCGTGGTGGCACACACCTGTGGTCCCAGCTACTTGGGAACCTGAGGCAGGAGAATTGCTTAAACCCTAGAGGTGGATGTTGCAGTGAGCTGAGATTGTGCCACTGCACTCCAGCCTGGGTGACAGAGTGAGACTCTGTCTCAAAAAAAAAAAGGATATCCCATGTTCATGAATTGGAAAACTTAATATTGTTAAGATGGGAATACAACACTACATCAAACTGATCTATAGATTGAATGCAATCTCCATTAAAATTCCTGCCTTTGAAGAAATAGACAAGGCATTCTTAAAATTTGTATGAAAATGCAAGTGACACAGCATAATCAAAACAACTTTAAAAAAAAAACAAAGAGGCCAGGCACAGTGACTTGTACCTGTAATCCCAGCACTTTGGGAGGCCAAGGTGAGTGGATCACTTGAGGTCAGGAGTTTGAGACCAGCCTGGCCAACATGGCAAAACCTTGTCTCTGCTAAAAATACAACAATTAGCCAGGTGTGGCACCACATGCCTGGCTAATTACTGAGGTCAGGAGTTCCAGACCAACCTAGCCAACATGGCGAAACCCCATCTCTACTAAAAATTGCAAAAGAAAATAGCCAGGCATGGTGGCACGTGCCTGTAGTCCCAGCTACTCAGAAGGCTGAGGCAGGAGAACTGCTTGAACCCAGGAAGTATAGGTTTCGGTGAGCTGCGATCACACTACTGCACTCCAGCGTGGATGACAGAGTGAGACTCTGTCTCAAAAAAAAAGGAAAAAAAAGAAGACTCATGCTTTCCAATTTCAAAACTTACTTAAAAATCACAACTTGGCCGGGCGCGGTGGCTCAAGCCTGTAATCCCAGCACTTTGGGAGGCCGAGGCGGGTGGATCACGAGGTCGAGAGATCGAGACCAACCATGGTCAACATGGTGAAACCCCGTCTCTACTAAAAATACAAAAAATTAGCTGGGCATGATGGTGCGTGCCTATAATCCCAGCTACTCAGGAGGCTGAGGCAGGAGAATTGCCTGAACCCAGGAGGCGGAGGTTGCGGTGAGCCGAGATCGTGCCATTGCACTCCAGCCTGGGTAACAAGAGCGAAACTCCGTCTCAAAAAAAAAAAAAAAAAAAAATTACAATTTACTTACTAAAAAATTACAAGTGTCACACTGGTGTAAGGATAGACATATACACCAATAGAACAGAAGCAAGAGTCCAGAAATAGACTGGGTGCAATGGCTCATGTCTATAATTCCAGCACTTTGGGAGGCCGAGGCAGGCAGAGCCCAGGAGTTCAAGACCAGCGTGGGCAACACAGAAAAATCTCATCTCTACAAAAAAATACAAAAAGTAGCCAGGTATGGTGGTGCATAACTGTGGTCCCAGCTACTTGGGAGGCTCAGGTAGGAGGATCACCTGAGCCCAGGGGGGTCAAGGCTGCCAAGATCTTGCCATTGCACTCCAGCCTTGGTGAAAGAGTGAAACCTTGTCTCAAAAAAGAGTCCAAAAATAATCCCATATATCTGTGGTCAAATTATTTTTGACAAAAGTGCCAAGATCATTCAATGGGGGAGAGAGTAGTCTTTTCAACAAACGATGCTAGGACAATTGGATAGCCACATGAAAAAGACTGAGTTTATTTTTTTCTTTTCTTTTTTTTTTTTTTTTTTTTTTTGAGACGGAGTTTTGCTCGTTACCCAGGCTGGAGTACAATGGCGCGATCTCCGCTCACCGCAACCTCCGCCTCCTGGGTTCAGGCAATTCTCCTGCCTCAGCCTCTTGAGTAGCTGGGATTACAGACACACGCCACCACGCCCAGCTAATTTTTTGTATTTTTAGTAGAGACGGGGTTTCACCATGTTGACCAGGATGGTCTCGATCTCTTGACCTCGTGATAAACCCTCCTCGGCCTCCCAAAGTGCTGGGATTACAGGCGTAAGCCACTGCGCCCGGCTAAGACTGAGTTTAAACCCTTACTTCAGGCCATATTTAAAAAATGACTCACTATAGATCAAAAACCTAAATGTTAGAGCTAAAAGTGTAAAACTCCTAGAAGAAAACAGCAGTTTTCATCTCATGAGCTAGGATTAGGCAATAGTTTCCTATGACAACAGAAACTCAAGGCAACTAAAAAACACGGGAATAAACTGGATTTCATCAAAATTTAAAACTTTTGTGTATCAAATGACACAATCAAGAAAGTGAAAAGATAATCCACAGAAACGAAAAAATATTTGCAAATTCGCCAGGTGCAGTGGCTCATGCTTGTAATCCCAGAACTTTGGGAGGCTGAGGCGGGTGGATTACCTGAGGTCAGGAGTTCAAGATCAGCCTGGCCAACATGGTGAAACCTCATCTCTACTAAAAATACAAAATATATATATATATCCAGGCGTGGTGGCGCATGCCTGTACTCCCAACTACTGGGGAGGCTGAGACAAGAGAATTGCTTGAACCCAGGAAGTGGAGATTGCACTGAGCTGAGATAGCACCACTGCATTCCAGCCTGGGCGACAGAGCAAGAGTCGTCTTAAAAAAAAAAAGAAAAAAAAAAGTGTAAATCCTATGTCTGAGAAGTGTCTTGTATCCAAATAAATAAGGAACTCTTACAATTTAACAATAAAAAGACAACCCAATTTAAAAATGGGCCAAGGGTTTCAATGGACATTTCTCCAAAGAGGATTTACAAGTGGCCAACAGACACATGAAAACTTGCTCAACATTATCAGTCATTAAGAAAATGGAAATCAAAACCACATCTGACACTGACACCACGTCACACCCACTGACCCAGACAACAATAACAAGCATTAGCAAGGATGTCGGGAAACTGGAACCTTCATACATCCCCCTGGTATAAAATTTAGTAAATGTAAAATTGTTCAATTACTTGGAAAGCAGCTTGGCAATTCCTTAAAAAGTGTAACATACAGTTACTATATGTTACCCCAAGGTAAGTAGAGTTACCCCAAGTCCCTGGGGCATGCACCCTCAGCCCAACGGGCAGAGGCAGAGATGCCACAAACAGGCTGTCCTCCAGAGCCAGCTCTCCCACCAGACTCCTCGCTGGGAGGCTGAAGACAACTCCATGTGTCTCCTGGGTATTCCTCCAAGGACACACGTGAGGACACAGTTTTATGTGCATACGTGCATTCAGACATGTCAGCTCTCAGCAAGACATATGCATTCACCCATGGAGGTATCTTACTAGGGTGGTCATCCTGCTAAGTCATCTAAGTAAACATGCACCTTCAGAAAGGAACGAGCTACACCTAAACAGAACAAGGAGGATAGGGACAGTGCCTTTCCTGTCCCCTTCCCCACCTGGAAATTAAGACCTACGGGAGGGTTAAGCCTGCCTGCAGCACAGCACAGATAGGGACAGAGAGAAGGATGAGCCCCTGCATGTGGAAAGCCCAGGGTCCCCTCCACAGTGGCTTCCTGGGCCATCCCTTGCCAGCCCACAAGCGCTGAGTGCTAACTATTAGGAATTCTGTAAAGCGTTAACGGCATGTTCGTTGAAATGAGCCCAGGTCGGGGAACTCACACCTCGGGACTAGACACCCTGCAGATCAGTCCCTCCATCCCTACTACGCCACTGGCCAGCTAGAGGGGGCCAGTCAGCACCAGAAGTAGAAGAAAAAGGAAGGAGGTGAGGGGCCATGGCAGTGCCCGCCTGGCCCAGCCTGAGGCTCAGGGCTCAGTGGTGCCACATCACTTGTTACCACATCACTTCACTCTGCTTCAGCCCCTGACACCACTGCAGCCTCATGTGCTGTGCTGAGGGCTCTGGCTGCACTCAGCTGCCCCTTGGCCAACTCCTTCTGCCTAGGGGACCACTGGGCACACGCTTCACCCGGAGGAGGAGGGGCAGGATTGGCAGATATGAGGACAGGGATCTAGCCGCCTGCTCCGCCCTGTACTAAGTGTCGGCTCAGCACACACTCAGGCATACGCAGCCCCATACATGACCGCCACGTGGTGGGTGGGACTCCACTGTATCCAGCCAAGCCACTGAGCTCACGAAGCCATGGGCATCAACATCCCAGGCTCCATTTCCAGGAGTGCCAGGGACGGCTGGGTCCCTAGGTAGGTGGGCTTAATATCCTCCTTACAGAACAATGGTGATCCTGGAGAGCCCTTCAGCTATGACAGCTGTGACAGTCAAAGATCTTGTGGTTGTAAGTTCCAAAGTTCCTGGGTGGCCGCTGAGGCCGAGCCCCCTCTCTTCCCAGGGCATACTGCACCATGTTCCAGCTGCCTTCAACTCCCCACCCAGCTTGGGCTTCAGCCCCTCATGCCAGGTGCCTCCCACAGCTCCCCCTCAGACTTGCCACACTCTTCAAGCTCTCCACAGCCACACCAAGCGTGCTGTCCACCCCCACCCACCACCACAAAAGGGGCGTCCTCCCGAGCCCCGCCCTCTCAGATCCTGAGAAGCCTAAGTCAGCCTCCTCTCCTCCAGCCCCTCAGTCACCCAGGAGGGGCCTCCCTGGTGGCCGCCTCCTGTCTCCTTCCCCATCGCCTTCCCAGCAGCCCTTTCTCCACACAGCACCCATGGCTTTATCTGCAGAGAGCATGGCCACGCATGCCACTCCAGGTCACTTTGGTGGCTCCCCACTGCCCTCCCTCTGCTCTTGCCTGGTGAGGTCCTGGGGATAGCTGGCAGGGAGAGCCCCTGAAGGTATGTGAGCCAAGGGGGTGTTTCCCAAAGGCACCCTTGGCTCTGGGCAGCATGGGCGATGCCAAGAGAACTGGGATCCAGGCACAAAGAACTGTCTGGGATCACACGGGGACAGTGGACGTGGAGGACACCAGCATGTAACAGTGGAGATGAAACTCCACAGCTTCTGGGACAGGAAGACTCGAACACTCCGAAGGCCAGGTCGGATGTCTGTTCCTCCCGGGCTGGCCTGCCCAGTCCCTGCGTGTGGAAGACAGGAAGGCGATGGGGCAGCAGCACCACGAGCAGCAGGGCCACCTTTGAAGGAGCCCAGTGCATTACACTCACAGGTCGTGTCAAACAAACACTCCAGGAGAAAGGAACTGTGAGGAGCCACCCAAACGGCATCAAGGGAGGCTCTCGGGAGTGGAACTGTGGCTGTTTCTTTCTCGTTTTGTTTCTGTAATCTTTTATGTTTCCAAGTTTCTCCTTATTCTCTAAGACCAGCAGTATTACCTGGACACCTACACAGTGTCCACCAAAGGCTGACTGTCATCCTGCGTCATTGGAGGACAAGAGTTTCTCAGGCCCTTGGAGCTCACAGCAGTGAGGGCAGGCTGGCCCCTGCTCACCACCACCTGCCTTCCCAGCGACTCCTGCCGGGCTCACCTGACTGCGTCGGTCTCCAGTGATGCCCCAAGGGACTCAGGGCAAGAGGACCCCTGCCAGGGGACAGTGATGCCTCAGGGCCTCCCATTCCAGCCCCACCCCCTTGGTGGTTCTGTCCTCCTCACCATCCCTCCTGCGCCTGAAGGAATCACCTCTCACCCACCTCCATCCACCTCAGCGAAGCTTCTGGGGCTGCTCCTGACCCTGTCCCTGTCTCTCCGCAATTTCTTTTCCTAGAAAACCGAGGATGAGAACCAGGCAGCTGGCAGGGATGCTCTGAGGAAAATGGGAGGCAGCCCTGGGCTCCCAGAACTCTGTGGGGTGACCACAGGCAGTCAGTGGCCAGCAGATGCTACTCTCTGGGGGATGAGTCGGTCCATCTCACTGCAGAGGGGCCTGGGCCAAGGCTGAGGGGTAACTCCAAGTCAGGGGAGCTGACTGGGATGGGAGGCTTGGGGAGAAGAAAAGGAATTGCGTCTGAAGGGCAGGGCTTGCAAAGTGACAAGTTACAGGCTATTTTTTGTTCCTGGGGCTGCCTTGAAACCCCAGGCCACAGTCTTAATGGCGATCAGAGACAGCTCCCCTGTGGGCCTGGTGTCACCTTGCATGTGGTGGGATTTGGGGTCGCAACCTTGGACACACTCTCCAAGCCCCTTTACCCAGCAAAGCCACAGGTCACTCTCTGGGCTGGGACCTCCCAGAGCCCCAGGTCATGGGATCCTGAAGAAGACCATCCCACCGCCAGGACTTGGCCCGGGGCCCCCAGGGCCTCAGGGACTGCCCCTCCCACCCAGCTATGAGTCATTCACTTGTACCCGGCTAGGTTCCAGAAAGGGCTGCAGGGACAAACACTGGCTGGACACTGGTGGACCTGTGACTGGCCTTCTGAGTGGCTCAGCCTCTGTGGCCTCTGCTGACCTCATCTGTGAAATGGCAACAAGGGGCCTGAGAGCAGAGGGTGGGCCAGGCCCGGGGGAGCACCATGCCCCACCAGCCCACCCCTGCACAGCTGGTGCTTGGGCGCAGCTCTGGCCACATCCCCACATACCCTTCATCATTGTCAACATTTTTACCACCCTAGGTTTACAGGGGAGGAAATGGAAGACTCCAGAGATGACACTCACCGGGGTTGGGGATGGCACACTGGGGGCTCAGGGAAGCTGGGGGAGGCGCACAGTCGTGGAACCCTTTGCCCGTGGTTGGTGTTCGACCTTGGGCAAGGCCCCTTCCCGCAGCCCTGGGCGTGGGTTGTGAGCAAATGGCTGTCCCATCTTGCGGGGGTGGCAGGCGGGTGCGCAGGAGCTCCACCTGCAGCTGCAGGCACCCGCCCAGAGGAAGAGGCGCGGGGACTGGGGGGGCTGGGGGACCCCTGCCCCGACGGGCGCTGCTGCCCCGGGAGTTGCGCGAATCCGACGCTCCCAGGCGGAGCGGGGACGGTGGTGCCGCGGGGCTGCGGGAGGGCGATCCGCGCCTCGGCCAGGGGTCCCGCAGTCCCACCCGCCCGGCCCGGGGACACGGGTGGGAGCCGTTACCTTCCCGTCATGGTGGCAGCGACGCTGAGCCCGGGATCGCCGCGGGTCTCCCTCTACCGCCGCAGCCGCCAGCCGCGCGCCCTCCAGCCAGCCCGGGCCGCGGAGCAGGGAGACGCCCAAAAAAGGCCAAGAGCCGCTCCGCCCGCGAGAGGGGTGGGCGGGGATGGCGGGGTGGGGCCCGCGGGGCGAGTGAAGTGGAAGGTCAAGCCTGAGGGAGGTGGGCGTGTTGGAGAGGTGGTGTGGGAGACTGGGGGCGTAGAGGTGGCGGTGGGGGCTACAGGTGGGGGTAGGGGTGGCGGTGGGTGGGGTCAGAGGGGTGGGGGCCAGAGGTGGGGGTGGCAGTGAGGTTGGAGGGGTGAGAGTGAGGTGTGGGTGGATTCGGGGTAAAAGGGGTAAAGTCGGGGTCCAGCCACCCGCAGAGTCCCCAACTCCGGGGACACCGAGCGCGGCCAGCGGCGGTCGCGGGTCAAGTCCTTCCCGCCCGGGCTCCACTCGCCACCTCCCGGATTCCGGGCATAGTTTTCCTTTTAAAGGGAGTGAAGTTATAATCAACGCGAACAGGCACCCCCACCCCCACAGCCCCGCCGGGACGCCCCGCCCAGCGCCCCCTCCGTGCCCGGACTGCAAACGCGTGCGGGAGAGGGGCGGCGTCGTGGGGGACGCTGAGATCACCTCCCGGCCGGGCTTTCCCAACCCCGAGTTCCCACCGCGGACCTGGGCACTGACTCCCTCCGGAGGCACCCGGGACCCCTGAGTCCACGCAGTCCTGTCCCCAGGGAGGCCAAAGTCTTGGGGGGGGGGGTCCCTCTTCAGTCGCAAGGCTCCTTTCCCCAGGAAATTCCCATTTCATCTCCCTAGGGGGGCCATCGTCCTAACTCTGCGAAAAATACTTCTTAAACGACAAAACCAAATGCCCAGCTCCCATGTTTCCAGGGAAACCAGGCACGCCTCTGTATAATAAAGCGCAACTGACAAGCTGCCATTACAGGCGTTAAGACGAAGGGGTGATATAAACTTTTTAGGGACTCTCTTCGGAGGAAATTTTTAAACAGACAAAACAAAACAAAAAACCCTCGCCCTGCCTAAAGACAGATGCCTCTAGCTGGGCAGTGGCGTGCAGCTCATCTTTGGAGGCAGCCCAGATGTCACACTGAGGGTTGGAAGCTGGGCCGCCTGATGTGCAAACGTGGTGCTGCTCCAGTCTTGGCCGCAGAGAAAGATGATCTGCAAACGAGGCTGCGAAGCAGCAACCCGCAGATAAACTGAGGGTGCCGTTCAGAAAGACGCGTTGATAGTATCCTGCAGTTCCGGCTGCAGAAATAAGCTGGGAAAAGACACCTGTCCCTAAGTAGCTGGTACTGTGGAGTGACTTTGCAGTTATTACTTTTTTCTTTCTCTCTTTCTTTCTTTTTTGAGACAGAGTTTCGCTCTTGTTGCCCAGGCTGGAGTTCAGAGGTGTGACCTCAGCTCACTGCAACCTCCGCCTCCCAGGTTCAAGCAATTCTCCTGCCTCAGCCTCCCAAGTAGCTGGGATTACAGGCATGCACCACCATGCCCGGCTAATTTTGCATTTCTAATAGAGACGGATTTCACCATGTTGGTCAGGCTGGTCTCGAACTCCTGACCTCAGGTTATCTGCCTGCCTCCAGTTGTTACTTCTTGTGGCAAGTGTGTCTCAGCTGATTCTGCTTAACTGTAATTTGATGATTGATTAAGCATAAATATAGGTGATTTCTTGGCTCATCTGCCCATAAAGAAAGAAAGGCTTTCCACTATTACAGAGGCGTAGGCTTGTTGGGGCCATGCGCCAGAAATTCACTGCTGGATGGTTAATTGAATATTGGGGTTCTGTAGAAACCAAAGACGATGAAAAGTAGAGAACATTACACCAGAGGCTCTCCAAGAGGAGACTTTATTCCTCCCTTTTAGCCCAAAAGCCTCCCTGCATATGCTAGCTGAGCACACACGGATCTGTTTGCCAAACCAGGACCCTGCCTCCTCCCAGCGTGCCTCATCCCTGGGCCAGGGCAAGCTCAGTATCAGCTGGTAGGGGCTGTGGGCATGGCTCAGCCCCGCTGGAGATGCAGTGCGGCCAGGAGGGCAGAGTCACAGGAAAGAGCTGGCAATCATACGTTCACACACTCATCCACTTCTTCATTCAAGAGTATTTACTGCATGGGCACTGGAAGTACTGCAGGGAGCAGGAAGATGTGGATCTGGCTCTCATGGAGTTTAGCTGGGGGTGAAGGATGGGCAGTGAACAAATAAATAAATACATGCACTAGATTTTAGACAGGGGTAAGTGCTGCAAAAGAAAGGACAGTGGTGGTGGCTGCTTCAGAGTGAAGAGTGAGGGAAAGCTTCTGAGCAGGTGACGTTCGAGCTAAGCCGGAATGAGGGAAAGAGCCTGCAACCATCTGCAGGAAAAACCTTCCGGCAGAAGAACAGGAAGTGCGACAGCCCTGAGGTGGCATGAGCTTGGAATATGCAAGGTCGGAAAGACCAGCAGGCCTGGAAAACACGGAGGTGGCCGGTGGAGGGGCATGGGAATAAAGAAGAGGGCCCAGCAGCAGGGCCACAGCAAAAGTGGGGTTCCACCCTTAGAGAGTTCAAAGCAAAGATGGACACAGCGCTCTAGCATCAGCATGGGTGAATCTCAGAAATACTGTCTGAATGAAAAAAGAGCTGCTTCTCCATCTATATCAAGTTCTAGATTAGGCAACATTTGTCTGTGGTAGAATAGAATTCAGGATGATGAGCCGGGCGCGGTGGCTCCAGCCTGTAATCCCAGCACTTTGGGAGGCCGAGGCAGGTGGATCACAAGGTCAAGAGATCGAGACCATCCTGGTCAACATGGTGAAACCCCGTCTCTACTAAAATACAAAAAATTAGCCAGGCATGGTGGCAGGTGCCTGTAGTCCCAGCTACTCGGGAGGCTAAGGCAGGGGAATCGCTTGAACTGGAAGGCAGAGGTCGCAGTGAGCCGAAGATCGCACCACTGCACTCCAGCCTGGGCTACAGAGCGAGACTCTGTCCCAAAAAAATTTTAAAAATCATGGAATATATGGTCAGGATTTGCACATTTCATTGTATGTAAATTTTACCTCAAAAGAAAAATACTGTAAACAGTACTGAACTCTAGTTAATGATGTTTTATTAAGCATGAAGTATTTAGGGAGAAAGGTACTGATGTCGACAGCTTACTTTGAAAACATTGCTTAAATCAAGACAAGCCTGTGGGGTATCCCTGAAGTCTCAGCTAATCTCTAGCTATGGGGAGGCTGAGGAGGGAGGATCACTTGAGGCCAGGAATTCAAGACCAGCCTGGGCAACATTGCAAGACTCTGCCTCTAGAAACTGAACTCAAGATGGGGAGATGGGTAAAGGGATGGATAGAGAGGTGGTAAAGTGAGTACCACCATATCAACGGGAGAATCTAGGTGGTGGGCATCTGGGTTTTTGACTTCGGTGAGTGCTTGAACTTTTTCATAGCAAAAGGGGGAAGTGTCCCTGGCTGCTGTGTGGCCGCTGTGTGAGGGACAGAGTGGTTAGAGGGACAGTCTGATTAGAGACTGAGGTGAGCATCAGGAGGGACTGATGCTCAGGCCATGTGACAGTAGGGACAATGAGAAGGCATCAAGTACAGGTTCTATTTTGCAACCAACAGGATTTGCTGGGGATCTGGATGTGTGGGCGTGGCCGGCGTGGGTGTGGTGGTTGTGAGGCAGGTGTGAGTGTACACATGTGGGAGTCAAGAGGACTTGCAGGTGGCCTTGCTTTCCTGGATGTTGGTGGCATTGGGACGGTCTGGGCAGGTCAGCGAGGGGTGACATTGCAATGGGCCCTCCCCAGGCATCCCAGGGGAGATGGTGGGTGGGGCGCTGTGAACCTGGAGCAGGGAAGAGACGTCCATTCTCTGGTGTATGTGCAGAAGGCTTGGGGCAAATGGAATTTCAACTCTAGGGCTCCATGGACACCCGGAGGTATCTGTGCTAGTCAGGAGCCCTACAAGAGGTGGGACTGGCAGGAAGTGAGGGGGAGAGCAGGAGGGTATGAAGTGCCACAGAAGCGCTCCAGGGAGGAGGTGCACCACTGCCCCGTGTGCACACAGCTGTGTGCAGAGGCCAAAGAGGCACCTGGGTTTGGGTCAAGAGCCAGTCCATGGGAGTGAGGGGCCTGAGTCCAGCTGTGGAGGGCCAGGCAGCGCCCCTAAGATGCCTCCCCGGGAGCACCCCTCCCTGGGGTCTGTGCAGATGGCACTCCCCAGAGGGCTGCACGCAGTGGCCCTGAGGGGAGAAAGCTCTAAAGGGGGGCAGAGAAGGGGCAGCAGTTGGAAGTGGGGAGGGGAAGGGAAAGGAAGGTGAGAACGCAGGGTGCCTGCCCAGGTTTTATAGGATGGCATCACTGAGGGACCCTCAGAGAGTGGCTTGAATCACATACTTAGTCTTCACTGGGGGACAGATGGGCTCTGAGGCTGAGGCTGGGCCACAGAATGAAACGAGAGCTGTCCTAGAAGGTGAAGGAGGTGCAGTCCCTCCCCAGGCATGGGCTCTCTGCCCTCTGGGGCTCAGGGCAGGTGGGTACCCCCTTTGCAGGGCAGGTCCCTGAGTTTCTCCACCCCCCTTCTCCCTCCCCTACTCCAGGGAGTGGCTGCCTGAGCCAGCCCAGGGCCCAGCGATTATAAGGGCCGGGGGGCCAGGGCAGAGAGAAGGCCTGGTCTTGGGCAGCATGACTAATCAGCAGGAAAAGGCTGACGAGAACCCCGGGTCTCCAAGGGCCTCAAGGAGCCTCTTCCAATATCCAGAGCCACAGCCCTGTCCCCATGTGGCCGCAGGGAATGGAGAAGGCCTTGCAGCTCTGAAGGAGTCTCAGGGTCTCCCACCGCAGCCCAGGTCCCGGGGCAGGAGCCCACGTGCTTCCCAGCAGGCTCTGTGAACCCTGCCCATTTGTTTCAGGATGGCCCGGTGTGATGCGAGGCCACCCAGAAGGCCACTCTACAAGGCGCCTGACCCACATCTGGTTAAGGACTGTCCCTTTCAGGGAAGTGGAAACGGGCAAAACACGAGGCCTGCTGAGTAGCAACACAAGCTCGAAGCAGTCCTCCTTCAAGGCCAAAGCTAACTCGGGAAGTGTGAACCTCCCCCCCCACCCCCCCGCGGGATCTGGGAAGCACCTGCATGCCCAGAGCC